ACACGGTTGATTGTTTCCTTCTAAATTCATGCAGATGTGTCCCTGTTGAGAAGCTAATAGTCGCTTGGTTGGTTAAGAAATGTCCTTCATTTCATAAGACCCGAAGGTTCATTACCATGTTCACAAGAGCTCGTCACTGGACAGTATATTGAGGCAGAGAAATTCAGTTGTCGTCCTTGTACTATTTTTTACGATTATTTGTTTTTCCTCCCATATGACTTTTGTCCCTCATGTATTCTCTTACTTTCAGATTTTGCTATTAAGGTTTTGTATTTATTTCCCATGTACGCCATATGCTCTGCCCATCTCATTTTCCTCGTTTGATCACCCTAATAGTAACTGGTGAAGAGTACAAATTACGAATCTCATTATGCAGTTTTCTTCGCTATGATACAAATATTCCAGTGTTAAATTGTTCATCGTGGAACCCTCTGGCCGAGTTAGTCTCATACCTCCTGAACCTGTTTGTTTTTAGAAAGAACACGAGGAAACAAAGATTGTGAACTGAATAGTAGCAAGAATTAATCGAATTCAGTCTGCTCTTAATGTTTTCCTGAATTCAGTTAAGATTTTAATTCTGTCGTTCCTAAGTGCATGAATTCTGTCAGTGTTTCAAAGGCTTTACTGAAGATGGCAACATTTTTGGATATTGCATTCTTGTAGAAGTTGTCCAGGTTTCAGAGTTGCGCACTCGCTCGCCGTGAGAACCTGATATCTCACGAAGATTATGATATTTTACACTCTTGTTAATTTTGCTGTTTGAAGGAACCTTGTGTGATTGATAATAACTCAGAAAAAAGTTGCTCTCTTTTAGAAATTATAATTTTAATTCGGATGGTTTTGTAACACCTAATTGTTTTAGAACAAAGTGCTGTAGACGTAAAAGATAGAATGTACGAATAAATAGGATGGAAACATTTACATAATGAGGATCTTCAAAAAAATTTCTCGTACACAAATATAATTAATGTTATATAATCAATAAGAATAAATTGAGAAATATATTTAATACTTTATTCAAAGAATGCTGTCGTGTTTTAGAGGATAATGTATTTTATAAATATGTAGT